CGCGGTTCCGGGGCGGGCCCGCGCTCCGCCCGGCCCCGGCGGAGCCGCGTCCGGCTGGGCGGGGCCGGCTCGCCATGGCCGGGGAGGGACCGGGACAAGGGCCGGGACAAGGCCTGGGCACCGGGACAGTGCCCCAGCCCGGGCACAGAGCAGGGCACAGGGACAATGCCCAAAGTCTGGGCACAGAGCAGGGTACAGGGACAGTGCCCCAGCCCGGGCACAGAGCAGGGCACAGGGACAGTGCCCCAGCCTGGGCACAGAGCAGGGCACCGGGACAGTGCCCCAGCCTGGGCACAGAGCAGGGCACAGGGACAGTGCCCCAGCCTGGGCACAGAGCAGGGCACAGGGACAGTGCCCCAGGCTGGGCACAGAGCAGGCAATGCAGGGACAGTGCCCCAGCCCGGGCACAGAGCAGGGTACAGGGACAGTGCCCCAGCCTGGGCACAGAGCAGGGTACAGGGACAATGCCCGCAGCCTGGGCACAGAGCAGGGCACAGGGACAGTGCCCCAGCCTGGGCACAGAGCAGGGTACAGGGACAATGCCCACAGCCTGGGCACAGAGCAGGGAACAGGGACAGTGCCCCAGCCTGGGCACAGAGCAGAGGGAACAGGGACAGTGCCCCAGCCTGGGCACAGAGCAGGCAATGCAGGGACAGTGCCCCAGCCTGGGCACAAAGCAGGGCACAGGGACAGTGCCCACAGCCTGGGTACAGAGCAGGGAACAGAGACAATGCCCACAGCCTGGGCACAGAGCAGGCAATGCAGGGACAGTGCTCCAGCCTGGGCACAGAGCAGGGTACAGAGACAATGCCTGCAGCCTGGGCACAGAGCAGGGCACAGGGACAGTGCCCACAGCCTGGGCACAGAGCAGGCAATGCAGGGACAGTGCCCAAAGTCTGGGCACAAAGCAGGGCCCAGGGACAGTGCCAAGCCATGCTGGGAGCCACAGACAGCTCCACGCTGTTACTGACTTCTCAGGGTGGTACAGATCTGATTGACCAGCCCCCAGGGGCCTACAGAAGCTCCAGAGGTCGCTTCCAACCCTATTCTGTTATATATGCATTTACAATGCCAACATATATGCATCCCTATAAAAAACCCCGCACTGAAAAGACTGTCAGCCTTTGAGGTTGCTGTTACAGCCCGTTAAAGAGAAAAAAAGAAGACAAGGTGGTATTGTCCAGGCAGATTTAATAGAGCACAGATTATTTTCTTTCTCCCCTTCTAATGATCAAGTTTTTATATACATTGTATTATAGCAGATTAAAAAATATTACAGAATTGCAATCTGATTTATACAGAGGGGTTACTTAAGCAAACATCTGAAGAGGGTGAAGGAGTTAGAAGCATTCCTGTAATCCCCTCTGTTTTGAGCCACTTCCAAACCAAGAGCACCACGAATTGCTGAAACCGTAGAAGATGACGAGATTTACAGATTTTATTTGCTCAGACTGAGGCAAGGCACAGGTGTGAAACACTCCTGTGTATGTACAAGAAGGAGGCGCGGTGGGAGCTCACTGCGCGGGCAGCGGCTGTGCCATGTGCATGGCCGGGGCCTGCATGGGCCAGCCCTCCTGGTGGTTCTGCAGCAGCCGGTAGAGCTGCTTCAGGTGTGCCACGATGTTGTCCTTGATGTCGGGCGTGGAGATCTGCAGCCGCACGCTGCCGCTGTCAAAGGAGCGCGTGAAGTCCCCGGAGAACATCTCGTAGATCATGCGCGCCACGACGGGGATGACCTGGTGAGGAAGACGTCCCTTTTTTGAGCCTAAAGGCATGTGGAATATCCCCGTTTCTCTGCAGGAGCCCCTGCCCTGGATGCAGACCCTAAAACACACTCACAAACTAACTCTGTTCAGCACACGTCACATTTGTATTTGCTCTCCCAAACCACCATCTCACTGCAGTTTTCCTGGTGTCAGAAGCCACAGCAGGTAAGAACAGGTCTCAGTATCCACGGGAATTGATCCCAAACCAAACAAGGCTGGCACACGTCACCCCAGAGCCCTACCTGCACCACGATCAGCTTCCTCTCCCTGGGCTTTCCATCGGGCCACTCTTCTCCAAAGCAGAAGTAGATCTCGAATGGTGGCTGTTTCTCAATTTGTCCCTTCTGATGGGCAATCAGCTCTAGGAAGAAAAGCAGAGTGCTGCAGGGTTGTCCTCTTTAGGGGAAACACCCATGACATCCCACCTCCTTGCATCACCCCGGCCGTACCTACACAGTGCTCTGCCACCTCTCACACAGTTACAGCTCACTCCTGGCACGTGAGGCGCTTTCTTTAAAAGCCAGGCCCTCTGGTGTCTCTCAGAGCACTACATGAGTGAACAGTGCCCTTCTCCTGCCACACACCCGCTCCCAGCTCCCCTGAAGTCAGTGGCCCTGACCCGCTGTGCACACCTGGTGCACCCAGGCAGAGCCCAGTGCAGACCACCCTTCCCAACAGTGCCATGCCCGCCGTCCAAAGCTGTTTCCCAGAAGCAGAAGTTACCTACCGCTCAGGAATGTTTCCAGACAGAAGAGTTTGACCTTCTTTTGCCTCTCGATCAGGTTTGGGGTGGTGGAGGAGGGGGCACAGGGCCCAGACCAGTAGACCTTGCACTGGCAGAGCCGCACGGCGTAGATGGCGTGGCCGCTGACCTCCAGGATCAGTCCCCTGTCCATAACATCCAGCAGCCGACTCGTGAAGATCTTCTGCCTTTCGTTGGTGATCTGCTCCGTCCCTGGAAACTTGACTTGCTCCAAACTGATGGGCCCAAAGAGCTCCTCCTGGTCTGGCATAGGACCCAGCTCTCCGTAGAAAAGTCTGCAGCCCTGCGGGTTGCTCACGGTCGTTGTGGGTCCGGTCTCCTTTCCTCGATATTCAAACTTGATTTCTAGGTCTGTCACTGAGAGAGAAACCATCAGTGTGGCTTTTCCTGGAGCACCAGCAGCTGGGACACCACGCAAGCCCTGCTGCCCTCGCGGGGATGTTCACACCACACACAATTCTATTCAAACTACACAAGTTCTCCTCACTCACTCACAAACAGCCACAGGAAAAAAGGCAAAAGACTCTTTTCTGTGGGGTTTTGAAGTACAAAGCAGAAGCACTGTTACAAGCCCATGCACGTACTTGGCAGGGAGCTGATCCAGAGCTCGGGGCTGCTGAAGAAGTCGTGCTGCAGCGCCGTTGGGGGCATTTCCATATCCAGAGGTTCATTCTTTGGCCACACAGTTTCAGAGCTGCAGTTCTCTGCACTGGCTGGAGCCATCGGAGAATCTACAAAAGGCAACAACTCTTCAATAAATCAAGATTTTATTTCAAGCATGCGGCAATTTCCAAACAAATACCTTCCCTAATACATCAGTCTGTGCCACCTACCATTGATGTTAAGAAATGGAAATGTCTCTTGAATTGGGACATGCTGAGATTGATTCAATTCTTCCTCCTCTTCATCATCAAGATCATTATCCTTCTCATCCCACGGAGCTGAGCCAGTGGAACCTGCAAACAAGCACATTCTTGTGGGTGGATGATCAGCATGAAACACTGGGAAAGGATCATCTTCATGTTGGATATTAATTTGTGTATTTTTCAAATTTCAGTAAAAAAAGGATAAATCTCATCCATACAACATGCTAATTTCAGTTTAATATATAATTCTAGAAAGCAAAGGTTAAAGTATTGATGAAGTAAAATACAGTATTGCCAATATTAGCCTGTTTAGCAGGAAAACATACAACTGTGTGCAGCTTTTTTAATTTTAGAACTAAAGGATGGTTCAAAGTCCTTTTAGTTACAGTACAGGCTTCACCTGGCAGCTGCAGAGTTAATGCAGAGAGGGAAGGAGCTCCCTTGGACCCACGCCTGCCCAGGAGCCAGCCCGTGTCAGCAAGGCCCTCACCTGGATTAATGATTGATCCCTGCGACTGCGGGATGTCACACACTTCGTAAATTTTAATAGGGTTCATGGGCACCTCCTTGGTGCCATCGTACATCAAATTAAACTCCCGGCTCTTGTTCAGTGCACATCGGAGCTGGGCCTTCCACTTTGCAGGGTCTGGCTCGTCCACTCCTTCCTGGTACTTTCCTGTTTCCACAGCCCATGCCTGGGGACAAAGTACAGGCAGCTCAGTCCAGCCCTCCCCACGGAGCAGCTTTTATCAGAAACCAAACCTCCAAACAAATCCACTGTAAAATCCTTCTCTTGCAGAAGTCTTAGAGCTCTTGTGATAACAAAAAAGGAAATGCCCACTTTAACAGTTTTTCTATTAAAAGAAAGTGGAGAAAAAGGATGTAAATCCAAATTCCAAAAGAATGTTCACAATTCTGGGTTAGAGATTTTGTGGGTCTCAGATTCAACACCAGAAGTAATTTTTGACAGTGAGCCTGTGTAGGAGGAATGGACTCGGTTAAAATGGAGTGGAAGGACAGCCACAGACATCCAGCTGGCCTCTCCCTCTCTCACCCCAAAATCTGATTACTGGTCCAAGATGCCTCCAAGACAAAGGTCAGAAATTCCTCAAAGGAGTGCAGGGAGTTACAGTGAATCCCTTGGGATAAGAATATTAGGGACAGCAGCGATGAGTGCTTGTGATGAGCTTGTGGTGGACCTCTTAAGACTTATGTAACAGCATTTCATGGTTTGCTGCCAAGAACAAGCCAGTGACCACATCCCAGCCTGAGCACATGAAGCCAAGAGCAGTCATCTTCCAGAGACCAAGGATCACACAGCACCCAGCCTGGGGTGGTGGGAAAGGGTTAAAGAACTCAACACCATCCCAGGCAGTGCCAAGCTTGGCATCCAGGTGCACAAAGTGGCTTTTCTGAGGTCAGATAAATAAAATGTGCCTGCAAACAGCTCCCGAGATGCCCGACCAGCTCCCAGGCCAACAATCCAGCCCTTTGTCTCTGCTCCAGGGCCGTGGGACGCCCGAGCTCCCGCTGCCTCACCTTGAAGATGGTGTTCTCCTCCTCGTGCTGGG